GTGTTTTTTTCAGCCCGAATATTTATGATTCCGGTTTTCAAACGATGTAAATTGAATAAATTTGACTTCAGGAATGAGTGTAACGGATCGAAAATTAAAATCGTTCAAGGGAAACAAAATGAAGTTCACGAAAGTTTGGCGAACAGGCCAATAGTTTATACACTTTTTTTTCTCTCTCTCTCTCTGTATGTGAATGCAGTAAGGTTGCAGTTCGTTTATTATCAAAATGTTGGGTTGATATCGTACGCTGCATTTCCAACCCAAGCAACCAAAGCAATCAACGTTACAGTAGTCATTAGTGTGGCATGCATTTGGTCGTCTCATATTCATTTGCATGCTACTGGGGCCGCATAGCACTCGGAGGCGAAATAAATTTATGAGTTTAGATGAAGTTTTATTGCGGTTGCATCACATTGCTGTTTAGTTGGGTTTTCCTCAATCTCTCTTCATCACATGCACACACTCGCAATTCTAATTGACTGAATGAGTGTGAGGTATGTGCTTCTAGAATATTATGCGTGATGAACGAAGTGCTTAAATTACATATACTTGCCAAAAGAACTAGCTTTAATAATTCACCAAAAACTCCAACTCTTGCTGTTCAAGTATTTTTGAAATCAACAGCAGCTTCACACTGAGAGAACTGTCAGTACAATTGCCGTCAGTATTATACGTAAATAGTATGATTATAAAATCACACTGAAACCATTACAATATAGCCAATATAGAAAATAATAGGCTCCAACAATAGAGGACACTTATGTCATTATTGTGTATTTTGCTAGCATTGTAATGGTTTCAGTATGATTCTACATATCATTTACGTATAATTTTGGCGGCAGTTGTACTGACAGTTCTATGCGTGTATTTTCAAAAATTTCTAGCATCAATTAAACTTTACAACACAGTTTTATTGCTTCAGATTAACACTTGTATTGATTACGATAGAACAAAAACCCAAATTAAAGAGTGCTACATTTGGATAATTTCAAATATTGTCCGATGACAGACAGAAAAATGGTTTTCAATTAAATTACTTTCAAGGGTACTCTCATTCGCACAGTGTTTCTCGGTGTAATGGAGCATTAAACCGATAATTGGTTCATTTAATGATTTCATACAGATTTTCGAAACATTTTTCCTCTGCTCCTGTCATTCATGCCATTTTCATTTCATTTGCATCGTTGTTTATCTTTTTGAATGTTAAACTTAAGAATTTGACACATTTAGCAAACGTTTAGATCCCTTTTTTTCAAGCCAAACACATTGCATTCATAAACGATGAAAGTGTTTATTCATTTTTTTTGCAAGAGCATTGTTGAATTTTATGAATTGGCATGAGGACAAAAACAAATCATTAAAATATTTTTTGAAAGCATATGTAGCGCGTAGCAAACCATATTAAATGTGAAATATGTCTACAAAATTTGGCGAAAAAGGGAGATGGGCGAAAAAAAAATCACCAGCACCAAAATAGCAGAGACAGACAGAAATTGGTATCATTATATGTCTTGTGGAAATTTCGTTTCATTGTGTCATTTTCATTTATTTCTGTTTTATCAAATATCCAGCAAATTGTCTTTGCCTCTGTTTCGTACGATTTTGTGTGTGTGTGTACATTTGGGCTGAAAATACCGTTGAATATGTGTATATGTAATATTCAATCATGTAATTATGCTTTAATTTGCAAGTGGGTTAGTACATTGTCGGATTAATGTTACCGTCTGCAAATTGTTCATGTTGTTTGTGCCATGGCATGTGTATTGGGAATGATGAATTGCTTGGAGAATGCGTTTTGCTTCCATATAACTCGGTGATCACATGCAGTCAGCAACTAGCAACTGAAAATAAGAGCATACAAATGCTTACGAACAGATTTACAAACAGAGACCAAGACTTGGAATGCCATCCACATTGTACCAACGTGAATGTACACCAATGTATACAAACAGCACAAACACAGTTGTATTTCAACGACAAAACCATGCAGAAACGTGTTTATACTGTACACACGATGCAAAGTGTAATATTAAATCGTTTTTGAATGTATCAGTTTTATAAATGCAGTTTGCTAAGGATTTGCCATAAACCAAAACTTATCCCGACAAAAGAAAATCATTCATTGTCGTTGACATGAAATATTCCATGTGAACAAAATTTATATATTCCGTTTTGATTTACTATACGTCTGCTGGTTGTAATCGCGTATATATAGCGTTGAAAATGTGTGACTGTTATTCAAACAGGTCATAACTGTATCACCAACTAACTAACACTTTTCTGCACTGGCATCAAACAATTTATTCGGTTCGTCATTTGTTTTTCTTGATTTTGGTTTTGTGCTCGTGTTTTTTTGGTCGTACTTTCCAATAAAAATGAACCAACCGTACCACACCTAATTAATGGGAAAAAAATGTTCAACCAGATGAACGCTACACCGAGCCCGTTTTAATCAATTATCCAATCTTTTTTTTTCGCTCGTTGCCAGTACATTGCCTCAACATATCAATTTTAATTACAAACAGCTCAAATTCCGATATTCTCTTCCGGCGTCGGTAAACAGTCGAAAGAGTGTTTTTTGACAGGGATTTCCATCGTTTAATACATTTTAAGCAAATTTATTGTAGTTAAGTTTTTAATTTAATATTGTGCATATTTTGCTCCAATGTATACACCTTTACACTTTCGATGTCGGCAAACTTTCGTTTCGGGCAATTTTAAATTGCTCAATGGAGATTTTTCTTTAACTTCTCGTTATCCCTGTTCTCATTAGGCATGTGTTTCAAAAGAGAATAAATTATTTAATGTTATAGTCTTCTTCTTCTTCTTCTTTTTTACTTGTTCAATGTTCAAGAATGCCCAAATGCTATTGTGTGGACAAAACTTTGTAAATTTTATCGCAAACAAAGGGAAACTATTGCAATTTGATAAAATGCCTACGGTCTCTTTCCAACCAGAAAAAAGTGAATTAAAAAAAAAATAGTCGCTGGCGAATCATTCCCCAGTTTATGCTTATAGTATAAAATGTTAAACCAGAACTCGAACAAGAGAAATGAAACACGATACCGAAACGGCACACTAGCCTTTTCCATTCGATTTTCGTATTTAACACCATTATTCGATAGCTAGAATATTTTTGGTCGTACCTTTAGTTTTCTCTCTTCGAAAGCATTGTCTCGTTAGCGCTAATTGGCATGTGGCTGAGCGTTCGTAAACTTTCTGCAAGCTGGTGTATTTTTGTCCAATTTTCATCTTTTCATCTAACCATTTGTCGTATATATTATGTATGTATACACGTACATATGTGTTTGACTTTCAATTTCTCTACGGCCAAAGTTCGACAACATCTGTATTTTGCGAGAAATCAAACCAAACCAACCAAGCAATATGTGCAATGTCCATCCATAAACATTCTCAATATTTGGGCCATTTTTTTAATATTTCCGATAGTGCGCACATAAGTTAAATCCAATATCATTCTGAGAGGTGCTGCTATTGTATAGAGTTTCATTACAAATTCAATTTTCAAATAAACAACATGCAGTTATTATAAATCGCTTTGTAAACAGAACGTGAAAATCACCAAACTTCTTTTTTCAACATTCATTGTAGTTGATGACACAATGATTGCAATTCATTTGATTCAAATTGACGAATTTTGATCAATTTTATCGATGAAATGAAATACGGATTTTTAAATTGGTAATATAAAAACATTTGTGAAAGTTGTGAAAAAAATTTAATATTAAGTTTCGACTTCAAGCGCATCATCTTTAAAATTCATGCGCCACTTTTTAATGCGATTCCGATGGATTTGCCATAATCACAAAAGTTATCTGACTTTTACTATATTGACCACGGAATACCATTGAAAAGGTTTGAGAATGTTTGGAATTCAAGTCGAATCAGGTCAATTAATCTGGTTTAATGTAAAAATTGAAATTAAATTTTTGGAAATATACACGTCCTGAATTATTTTTCGATAAATTTTATTCTTGTAATAGAATTGATGAGAAAATTACAGTAAATTAGAGTACAGCAAAGAGAGAAACAATTATTGGTTGTGTGCTCATTCAATTTTCAAAATGAATGGTTAGTGTAGAGAACCCGTGTGGAAAAAAGTGACTGACTGTGCTGAAATCAACTGAAAATAAATTTTCAACTTTAAATGACTTCAATCTCAGTTGGATTGAGTCAAAAACGTCCCAAATTATTTAACTGACTGGTTAGTCAGTACTTTTTTACATGAGTGTACAACATTTTGTTCGGAAGTGTAAGTCAATGTGAGGATGTATAGAGTTCAAGTCTCTTTGAGTCGACGGTGGCGCCCGCCATTTCAAAGGGAACGTGCTTAAATGTAAAATATTGATAATTTATTGCAAAATAATGAAATAATTTCATCTTTTCTCAATGATATGCCAACACACAGATTACGAAATAGTAACATTTAATATATAGCCCATTTTTGGCTGTGTAGTCATAATTTTACTACATATTTTTTTTTTTTTTTCAAAATTTATTGTTATTTAGAGGAAGTGTAGGTAAGTGTACAACATTTTGTTTCGAAGTGTACCTGAATTTTTTTTCTTCAAAAAATCGACTTCTCTTTTTTGGGGTCTTCATAATTTTGCCCGGGGTAGCTATTTTCTAAATTCAAAATGTAATGTATTATGGTCTTAAAAAAGTGTACATTAAGTGTATACGATATTACTATGAAATTAAGTGATTTGGCCATACCAGCCTTATATGATGGGCGAAGGGTACCTATACTGGAAATTTCAAAATAAGTGTAGGATGATTTTATGAAAGTGTACAGCCTTGAAATTAAGTGTAGGTTAAGTGTACATCAATATTATGTCTTTAAATTCTCACCTTCTTGTGATATGGTCATGCTCTCACCTCTCACTGGGGCCACCAAATATTTTAACATAAAAGATAAATTGCATTGAAGTAAGCAATGAATTATTATCAACATATTTTATTTATTCAATTTTTTTTAGCAAACTGGGTACACATGGAAGTCCAAGGCGTAGAAATGCTGGTCACGATCCACCAGTAAAACATTTAGGCCTCGGAGAAGTGAAGCGATTTACTGGAGGAATGCACAATACAGAAACTCTACCTGGTATGTTTGAAAGCGTTTCTTTTATTCATTCCCAAAAATGGGGTATTCTTTTATGCTCCACTTAGCCACTCTAAATTATAGAAAAATAAATCAAGTAATTTCAAATGTAAACACCTTCGCACTACTGAAAAAATCAAGATAACTAACAAAAATGTCATACATACACACACACACATTTTTTCCACAGTCAATATGTGAGACATACACCATATCAACACAATCATTTGCTGGTTGACTTTGGAATGGTGTATTGATTTTTTTTCTCACTCGGGGTAAATTGAAAATCCAACAAACAAAGTTGCATTGGGCTTTATTCTATTTAGAGTAAGAGCGAAAGTATCACACAGTGACCCAAACAAATGGAGAAACGAAGGGGAAACAATCAGTTTTGTAAAGAAAAAGCCATGAGATTGCGGTTCAATGCCTTTGCACATAGCTATTAAATGATTGCTAAGTCAAGCGTGTAATGAAGTTTATTTTTTTTTGCTCTCTCCTCTATTCCTCTGTGTGATTGTATGAATCGTTTCATCTTCGGCCTATGCTTTATAACTGTCAAACATCATGCAGAAGCGCTATTATTCATTGTGGATATTTCACGTATGAAACGTATTGTTAGTCGATTCGTGCCGCACAGTTTGTGAGTTTATATGCTTGAAATTGTTCTATCTATTATGCATCATTCATATTAAAATGAAAGCCAGAGCCGAGAATCGTCAAAACAATTGATATGAGAAGTGAACGAGGGAGAGGAGAGGGTCTATGCCATGATGGTAGAAATTTCAATTTAAAATGATTGGTGGTTGAATTCTTCAAATCTTCAAATCAAATTTGTCTTCACTGCTTTTTGTGGTCGATGTATTTTGTCTGTTCAATGTTAGCTATAGCTAATGTCATTGAAATTAATACATTGTTTATGTGAATTGAACAATAAATGTATCCAAATATTGAGGAAATGCATTGACGCACAATCAAACGTATTGAAACTGTACTGTCTATTAAATTTATTAGGAAATATTGAAAATAAGCTTCAATTTATCGGCTTTAATTGGACTATACTTCATTTAAAGCTGAGTTTAATTACATGAAAAGTACAAAATGCTTCTTTTTTTCAATAAAAGTTGTATGCTCAAACAGAGAGAGAGAGAGAGAGAGAGAGAGAGAGAGAGAGAGTTCTAGATTGATTAAGTGCAAAATGTGTATACAGATCACCGTAGTTCAAATACAATATTACACTTATTCAACTGCACACGTGTGTAATGTTTTCCATATACCACATGTGGGAGCTTAATAACTTAATAACAATAGTGAATGTATGCATTCGAGTTTATTTATAAATTATGAACCATAAATAATTTCATTAATTAATTGGTAGATAAATTCGCATACATTCGTACAACTATCAGTGGATTCGATGGTTTTGAATGTCATTTCGAAAACACACAAGCCAAATAAGTGATGGCAACCACATGGTTCCCATCAAATGGTAAAATAAAATGATCGGCTAATGCAAAATGACTGAATTGTTTCCATTTGAATGAATAAACAATAACAACAACAATGAAAACTAAAAAAAAGAAAACATTTTCATATAACCAACATGCAATTTTCCCTTATGCTAGCCACTCTCTGCATATCATCAATTTAAGTATTTAGTTGCTCCAATTTTATAGCATACACATTTTCAATCTATTCCATTTGAATCATTAAATTGTATTATGAAAATCGAACCAATTATTTATTGATTTTGTGGATAGTAGCGAAATGAAGATAATCGAATGAGTTTATTTTTTCTCATCAGACATTTAAAAAATTGATAGAAAATACTAAGTCGTTATAATAATAATGTTAAGGTGCCTTTTGAGTATTTTTTTTTGTTCGATTTGGACTTGTAAACTGACTTGATATAATTACTTCATTCGTTCACATACTAAATTATTTGAAACTGTGTCGTATGCAATCTCCCGGCATGATTAGAATTCATCACATAATATAATAGGGGACACCCTGTAATAAACGGAACGAGCGTTCATTAAATAAAAATGTATTTGAAAAAAAAAAGAAAACGGAATGAAAAGTATGAATGTCGCAGAAACATAAGCAAAAAAGGATAATGAACCGTTTATGCGAGAGTGTGTTTGTGTTTGTGGAAATACCGCGGCGACGGCGACAGTGACAACAACGATAACAGTAGCGTGCGCTATTCGACTATCCGAGAAATTGTATAGTTAGGCTAAAGCATAGAAGCACACAGCACACCAAACACACAACACCGAGGAGAGAAAAAAAAAATACAATGTTTCTTATTATTTAATTTAATTGCTTTTTATATCTAACATCAGAATCTTAATTAAAGAAGAGTTGAAACGATTCTGGCTCTTTTTAATTAAACTTTTAGACTGCTAAAATTCAATTTGAACTCCTTTTTATTCTCGTTATGTGTATAAAGTTCATCAGTTTTCTTTTTTCTTCTTCTTTATTTTAAATGGTGTGTGCATGTATTGTATGTGTGTGTGTGTGTGTGCGTTTTGCTACGTATTTTTGCCGCTCTCCACACAATCTTCGTCGCTCACTCTTGCTCCACCAATTTTCTATTTCTTGGCATTGCCGTTCGGGCATTTATCTACCATTTTGGCAGGAACGTGTATGCTTGTGTGTGTGTGTGAAACAGAGAAAGTTAGCACGCAACGGAAGAAAGAAAGTGACAGAGATATTGAGTGAGAGAGATACACCGAAATAAAGAATGTGTTCATTTCAATCGCTCTTTTTGTGTACGTTTTCCATCATGAGTTTTCTTGCTCACAACAAAACGAAACGAACGAATGAAATGCGGCAATGTGCAAAATATAAAGCCGAAGTCTGAAAGAAATACCGAATTTTGAGTGCAGAGAAGTGAGTAATTCACGGCTTCCACGTAATATGTATACTATTTTGTCATTTAATTGTTTTTGTTTATGTAGATGCACAGAGTTTTCGACGACCATAATGGAAATGATAACTAAATCGCTTCTTATTATTCTTTGCTGTTCAATTCTCGTTCTCTCTTTCTCTCTCTATCTCGCACACTCTTCTACATTTACACCTACTCGTTTGCTGTCTTCAATTCCATCCGTAAGCCCATGTTTATTGGAAGGGAATGTGCGCCATTTATTTGCTACCGTGAAGCCATCAAAAATGTGTATGATTTTCTAAATAGCGTATTCAGCAGTTATTCTTATGCCGCATTAATTTCACCAAACATTAAACTCATCAACAAAAATGTTTGAAGAGTACAATTCAGTGGAATTTCTTTCGTTTTGATTACCTCGTCGCCGTTTCGCTGGTTTTTTTTTTGCTTTATTTTATTCACATGTGCTGTGATCGCCCGCAACACACATTCCAAACACATAAACGATTCAATCCGATTTGTGCGAAACTTTGATTTGCTGCAGAATGTACATACAGTTCAACAATGGAGCGAAAACTGCAATTGACAACAAAACAACAACATTCAAGCGCTCAGTTTTGAAATAAATGAATAATTTTTTAATTATACCATTTGAAACATTCACTACTATTTTCACGAAATTACACGTACCCCGTATAAAATGGAACTCACAAAACCACATGCGCATTTTCCGTTGTTCCACTTAATGAATACAAATTGAATTCATTCAGGTACATACATGCAGACAACACGAATTATTACATCGATGCCAAAGTCCTTTTGAACTTGAAATGAGCTTCGGATAATCTTTTTGTTTACACTTTTATTGCTCGAAAATGGTATTTTTGTGCGAAAGACCAAACATCCATAGTAGCCCACAGACACCGCAATTCTCAATTTAATTTAAAATAGAACAAACGCTGATTATTGTCAAACGCTCGGTCGAATTACAATTGCCAATATTGGATCTAGGCAAAATAAGCGAAATATCATCAAAATTCACCAATGATTTGACAATAGAAAAACGAAATAATAATAAATGCATTCGCTTGAATGTGTTGGATATTAAAGTGGACAAAAGGCTGACGTTTTCATTTATTTGAAAAATGTGATGTGTCCGTTGTTGCGAGTGTACGCGTAAATCAACAGCATACGTTATGGTAAATGCATGTTTCAAATGTTCCATTTGAACTGCAATCTCGTTTCCATTAAATAATACACGTAATAACAAATTTCACAGAATAAATATTGCGAAAATAACAAATTGAACGGCGAACAATAGCAACAAGGCAGCCAGGCGAGCGAGCGAGGGAGCAAGCAAGCGAACGAAGCTAAAAAAAGAGCAGAGTCAGTTGCCGAGTCAGTACAGCACTTTTCAATTATTGGATACATGTGATAAATACAATATGAATGAAAGGATTGATTTCGCAACGTAAAGTGCATCGAAATGGAAGGGCAAAAGCTGCAGATTTTAGCAGCTCGTTCATTGTTCCGTCAGAAATAAAAAATAACGATCTAATCGATTCGCATCGAGTTCAAGTGCGAACCAATACATATATATACACCATACACACATCATCTCCATTTCATTCGATTGTTCGCATTTGTTGCGCGACGCGCACATAAAAACGAACCAAAGCAAGAAAGTGAAAAGAATCACAAGAAGAAAGATTGTATGTACACATTCGCTTCGAAAGTCTCGATAAACTCGATAATTTTCATTTCGCTCATGCTTTTAGCGTAAATCAATTCGATTGGATTAAATCGAATCTCACTCACTCTCTCATTCTCTCTCTCTCTCTTTCTCTACCTCTCTCATATAATGTAACTAATGTAACGAAATATCATATAATTCGCCAACTATTTGCGCCACTCATACGCGCCATATCACACAAGTTTCGCGCTCGTAATCGTAAGGTGCAAAACCTAACAGCCAAATCATACATTCGACTGGGACTTGCACACGCGTTCATATACGGTTGGGGCAAAAAAAAAAGAATTTATGAAGGTTCCTCAAAGGCAGCATTCGCCAAATACATGAACTATGAATAATGCCGGTTGCTGTATTTGAACATATCGCGCGTTCTTCACGTGCGAAAGGAGTGAATTTATTTTTGTGTTCGTCGATAAGTTTTATATATATTAGAGAACATTTCGTTTCTCAACCAAAACCAATATCTTTTCGGCTTTAATAACATTTATCCATTTGCACTTTTTTCTCATTCCATTTCGACATTGTACACGGAAAACGCATAAGAATTACTTGACGATATAAAACACTTAAATTATCGATGATAAGAATCGGCACCATAGCACACAAGAGAGAGAGAGTAAACCAACTCTTTCCGTTGGATACATTTTTATTATACGATAATTTTCTTTAATTTTTTTTTTGGTTCGAGTACACAAACATATTTATTTGTTTTCATAATTTTTGAATTATTTTCCAGTTACTGACAATGGAATTGGCGATCACCATCAGCACAACAATCATCACCAATATCAGCCGTTGGTTCGTCATCAAGCCAAAGTGGATTCGCATAAATCAGTTTGCGTAAAACCTTCGTCGCAATTGTCATCGCCGTCAACACCTACATCCAATATTCCATCGTCAAATGTATGCACTTCATCGTCGGTTACGCTGTCGACGTCCAGCAATAGCGCAGGACTACCAACAGGTACCGAAGCATTAAACAACTACATTTTTCCACTTGCCAAACCGCAAAAATTCATTTATTCATTTGCTGCATGCTTTTTCTCGATGTCATTTCTCTGTCTCTCCCATTTTTTGGTGGATGGCAAATGTTTGTTCATTGCATTGTTTAAATGAAAATGACTTTCGCTTCGGATTTTGTTTTGTTTTGGTGTGTCTTTGTGTGTGTTTTTTTTGTTGCAACTTAATTTCTTTGTATTTTGTCGCCGTCACAGTATTATCAAATCAAAACACCACACTGCTTTTGAGTGGCGGTGCCAGTGCAAATGGTAATAACAACAATCTCACAAGCTGCAACGGGGTACGAGAATGTGCCGGCTGCTGTAAACGCATCACCGAGCGATTCCTATTGAAAGCTTTAGATTTATACTGGCACGAGGATTGCTTAAAATGCGGATGCTGTGATTGTCGATTAGGTGAAGTCGGGTCCACTCTTTATACCAAGGCAAATTTAATTTTATGTAAACGGGATTATCTTAGGTTTGTCATATTCATTCAATCTCATTTCATTTCAAAAGAATTCCATTCAAATGCTTTATTCTCTCTATCTTTTTAAATAAAAAAAAAACACACTCACACACAAATTATATACAGACTATTTGGCACTACGGGCTACTGTGCTGCCTGTACCAAAGTGATACCTGCATTTGAAATGGTGATGCGGGCAAAAAGTAATGTATATCATTTAGAATGTTTTGCTTGTCAGCAGTGTAATCACAGGTAACTATTATAAAAATTGAAAATTCCATTGATTTATACAAATGTCGAAATGAAATGTTCAATATGCAATATTTTTTGTTCCATAGAATAAGATTTTTGAAATATAAAATACCATCAGTATTCTCTAGTTCATTTTCAATTTAACAACGTCGAAAAAAGCTTACCTAATGTCTAATGGAAATATCATTTCTATTCATTTCGAATTATTATTTTATTTTAATATCATTATCTGAACTAAATACAATTATACATATTGTATTAAGGCAATTTATTCGAATTAGGTCATTTCTCGCCAGCTCCAAGAGTGTTATAGATTAACGACAATCAATCGATTTTATTTCGTTTGTATTTATTTTTTGAAGCAGGTCAACTGTTAGGATATTAGCCGTGTTTTTTTATGTCCTGTTCCCATTTCTCTTTTTTTTGTCATGTATTCCTTTCTATTTGTTGCTAACACTCTGAAATGAAATGCATTGTGTGCTTCAAATCGATTTGGTATCATCAGTAACACTTTATTCTAAATTTTGCTCTGAAAATAGATCAATAAAATTTTAAAAATAAATTGCGACAATTTATACCTAGGGGAAATGATCTATTCGCGAATGGACAAAATTTATTAGTTGTATGATAAAGTCGTCATTTTAGTAAAATAATTCAAAAAATTCGCATACAATTCGCAATCAAACTATATAATATACGCTTGCAAACGAACCAAGTGAATAGCGGCGACGCAAGAAAACGAAGTGAGTGAATAGCGGCAACGGATAACATTTTTTCTTTCGTTCGTTGTCGCTATTCATTCATTTCGTTTTCGTGCGTCGCCTCTATTCACTTGGCTCGTTTACAAGCGTTCACAATTTGATACATACAAAACATACAAATTTTGCGAATTGTCTCACGTTCATAGCGTTTTGTTTGCGAATTGTTTTTTAAATCACAACTTTACTGGCCCATCGCTTACAAATCATTTCGCATAAAATTCGCAAAATATCGAATAATTCGCTATTTTCTGATCGAGATCCGATCCCCTAGATTTATACTGAATAGAAAACGCTATAAAAAGTGAGCAGCGGGAAAGTGAAACATGTTAAAAATGTTAAATGCATTTTGCTTGCTTATTAAACCGAGTAATTAATTTGATTCCATTGTTTGTTTACAGGTTTTGTGTAGGTGATCGTTTTTATTTGTGTGAGAATAAAATTTTGTGTGAGTACGACTACGAGGAAAGATGTGTGTTTGCTAATATGGCGTATAATCCATCTAGTCTGGCGCATATTCGGAGACAAGTGAGCAGTTTACAGGTTCGTATAATTTCTATTGAAGCATGAGTAAAAAAAACAGCGCCAAAAAAATAAACGAATATCCACATTTTCATATATGTAAAATGTCCATGGTGTTTATTGTATATTGCTTGATGAGGTTGTAGTTAGATGAAAGAAGACAACTCACCGATCGTGGTCATTTGGTTCGTATATAACAAAAATTCCGATGGAAATGTAAACAAATGAAACGTTCAATGATAGTGATGGTGATGGCTATGGCGCATTTGCCATTAATCGAAGTGAAAATGCCATGGCAAAGTTTGCATGCACATCTTGCACACTATGTATTTTAATGAATAGCGACTGGAACGCGCCAACAGATAATTCAAATCATTCCGGACAATTTATAATACGTTAATTCATATACTGTGTGTCCAAAAAGTTTGGACGTCAATGATGCATGTACGCTTGGATTTTTCACACACACACATACACACATACGTCCACACCAAATAACCGGGCGCGAAAAGGAAAAAAAGAACCAGCAGCAGCAACAACAACAAAACCAAAAACCATATTCTCTCTATCTCGCACTAGCTGATTTTCGGCCACGATTGTAATGCGGAGAAATTTATATTCATCTATATAGGAGAGTGGTGCACAAATTATATCGTTTTGGCCGACCACTGCAGACAGAAAATGATTCAGTCTTCGACATGCTGATGCAAGTTTATAAAAGCGCTCTTTTGCTGCTATTTAAAATGTGTATTATATGGTGTGCCATTTATATACGGGGTATGGGGATCTATGTATGCAATATAGTATAGTAGCTCGGCAACAAAAGAGCCAACATTTACCCCAAAAATGTACATGTTTCGCACACATTTTCACCCAATTTATGAGACAACGAACACTTTTCGATAGTTGATGTTTTATGCACCAAATTATAAGCGGATGCCCTACTAGTAATTATTGCAGTTCATTGAATGTTATTTTTTTCCCGTCACTTTTTTTTTTGCGATGTTCGCTTTGCTTCGTCCCTTTCGGATTCAATATTTCGTCTCTATCGCTCGTCATTTGGTGCTCGTCGGCCTTATAATTTTCGGGATACACGAGAAAACCAATAACCGATTGCAATTTAATAAATTGAATTTATTAGCATGGACTGAATACCATGAAATATTCCATCTGCAGAATTCGGCTCTATTTAAAGCTTAAATACTAATTAAAAGTTTCGATGCGGCACAGAAATTCCATTGCAATCATTATAATTAGCAACAACTTGGTTTCACTGTGAAATAATAATTCACGAATATGATGACGATAGTGAAGAGGAGCATTGAACAAGTCTTAAATAACGTTCGCAAATTCTCTCACATTATCTCTATTATTGAGCGATTCACGGAAAATTCAACGAAAAATACCATCCTCTTTTGCACTGCATTTGATTGAAAAAAAAAAATGAACGACGAAGATTGATACCTTTGACAAAGGGCTGTTACATTCACAGACCTTTCAACTCACTCAGTAATAAGAATTACCAGCCCTGCTCTTAATAATAATTCGTTCAATGCGAATAAGGAAAAATTCGAATTTATTCGAATTTAATTCGGACGAACTGGTAATAATTCAAATCATTATCAATGTTTCTGCTCAAATTCTGTTGAAATAAAAACGTTGCACCCCTTCTTGAAATGACAAAAATATTCCTGATCTGCCTTCAATTATTCGTTCATAATTAAGTACTCATTTCAATTATAAACTGATAAGATATTTGTTCCTCTTAATAGCTGACAAATGCCAAAATAAACGAATTCTTCTGAATATGATAACGTTGTTCATAGATTTGGACTCCCAAATTTCATCATCAACCATTCTATACCTGAATTCATTTTGACCAAAGAATATTTTTTTAACCGAATACTTCAATCTGAACCAAATATGTAAAGACAGAATGCGGAAATATTTAAAACTGTGTTTGTTCAATGAATGAAGAAAAATATATGTCGAAAGCACTTGATGATGAAGCTGAAGATACTTATATTCTTTTTTTGCATATTTTTAAATGTTTTTGAATGACCAATCTTTTCAATTTTCTATATGAGTGAATGAAGATTCTAGTTTCGACTGCATTGCGAATTAAATGTTTCATTACATTTGTGAATGTTTATTGAAATGGTGAAAAGGTTTTATGGTTTGAATAAAAGATAGACAATAATGGATATTTCCGGAAATCATTACGTATTTATGATGTGAAATGCTTGACTTTATCAATTCATCCATCTTAATTGGCTTCATGAATTACACATTATGATCTAGATTTTTTTTTCGCTTCATTTTTTTAATTCGCATTTTATGTTGCACAGTTTGAATCGTAATCGAAATGACTAGAAATTAAATGCTTTTTTTACTCATTTTCATGCGGCTATTCAATGAATACATTTTCAAAATCATAATGCCATTAACATTCTCACCACTGTGAAACAAAATTGAATGGGAATCAAGTACTATCAACTCTCAACTCCAACCATAATACAAATGATATTTGACACAATCAAGTGAATTGAATGGGTGAGGATTACAGTGAGCTCAAATCCCGATGAAAATAAAAGACCAACATGACATTTTTTTTTGTATGGAGTTGTTGTTGTAATTAAAATAACAAATCTATGTAAAAAAAAATGTTATGATGCTCTTTTGTTTTCATCGAGATTTGAGCTCGCTTTAATCCTCACCCGTTCAATTTAAATGTTTAAGTTCACCCGTCGATCATTTTAATTACGAATGCAAATTGTATCAATAAATTACTCTCAATCGATGGCGGACCACTTTTGGTATATAAGAAGAAGAACAAAACATTAAATTTCAATTAATTTTCATGTATAAGACGATAAATCATCCCTACTTGGAAACTTCTTTATAATATTTAAAATACAAAATAGTGAAAAGTCACATAACTTCTACGTTGTGCAAGCTATCTTCAATTCCGTGCTGCTACGAATTAAAATCGTAAATTGGTTAAATACAAACTAAATGTATTATATTTAAAATGTTACACAATTTTCACAGTGCATCCAATCGACGATTCAAATTTGCACCCTTCTCACAATTTGTCGACCTAAAGATTTGATTTTTTTTTTGCAATACTGGACTCATTTATCAGTGCTCATGTTAAATAATATGACAACATTGCGATATTGAATGTGTTTCCGGCTTCAAGATTTAATCAACATCATAAGTGGTATCCGGTATCAAAAGATCAAATTCATTTACATATTTATTTAAGTCGCATGGATTTACCGAGAGAATAATACGTGCTATATATATGTATGTGTGCATGTTTACCACAATGTCAACGTCTTCGTAAATAGATGGTGTTTTGTATCGAGTTTATACCACTGTGTTCGTGCATCACAAACAAACAAAGTAAACAAGTGTATTCAAAACACTTGAAACACTTATCGAAACGCTTAATATAATTTCTTGGAATTAACACTAATGTTGTTATTATTATTATAGTTATATTTAACAGTGGCGTTTGCTATATTATTAATTAAATGTTTGGCACAGTAGCACATCGCTCAAATGCCAGATGCAGAGAGAGAGAGAGAGATGAGCAGAGAGCGTGAGAGAGAGAGAGCAGCGAAACGATGGAATGTTTATTGATTTTTTGGTTCGGTCTTGGGTTCTCCAGCCATTTAATGCATAATTTGTATACATAATTTTCAAATAATTAATTAAAGTTGGTTTTCAATTTGGATCAAATAAAGCATTCAAAACGCTATAAGCGTATGTGTACGAGTATGTGCACGCCTGTTTTGATGATATGAATCCGAATATATTGAATAACTCATGAACAGGTAATGCTTCACATTTGTTTTGGAAGTTCAACCAATTTAAATGCGTCATTTTCATTGAACGACCCAAAAGTTACAAAACATTTTCGAGATTGTCTCGCTCACTTGCTTCACCATTCTCTCCAATCGTTCGCTCTCTATCTCGCCTGTTCGCTCGTTCATTCGATTTTCGCTCGTTAACAGTTCAACGAACATTCAAAAGCTACTATTTTCAACTGGCTTGAATTTGACTTGTAGTTGCGATGATAGTTTGATTTCATTTCATTCCGCACTGTAAGCAGTAAACACCAAATATCTTCAATTAATAACAAAATATTGTTTATAGTTTTGCATAAGAAAAAAGATGAAAAGAGCAAGGAACCAAAAGTATGCTGAATGTAGTGTTGCTTTGATTTAACAAACAAAATATATGGCTAGTTGAAGACAGATGGCAATTATTTATATTTTATCTCTTATCAAAAGCGATAAATGGAACGCAATTTTAATATAGTCGTGAATATTTTGCTCCAATTTTAAGTTGCAGCTTCAGTTGCAGTTTTGCCGGAACAACAGAAAGAACATCACACTGTGAATGACGTTGCCGAGGCATTTTCCAGCATTTCAACTGAATCAAATATTTGCTCAGCTCATCTTCAGCGTATGTTTTAGCTCATGCGACATATTGTGCATTGATGTGTGTCGCCCACAATTCGGGCAAATGGCTCGTTCTCTTTCCCTCTCTGCCTGCCTGTGTATAGTGTTGGTTCGAGAAGTCTTTGCATATCCAAAAGATGCTCCGATTCATTGCGATTGCCGTTATTCTGATATAAATGCTCACAGTGTCACAGTGTGCTGTTGGTTTGGGACTTTTCGATGCTTCGCATTCATTTGTAGTATTTGTGTGTGTGTGTGTGTGTATGCGACTGACTGTAATTCAAATGTAATTAACAGATGGATATATGCACGATGCAAATTTAATTACATTAAAATATTTCCCTCTGTCGTTTCACTCTCCAGGCAATTCACTGCATCTTTGTCAATGCAACAGCATTCACGACATTATAATCGGTTTAATGCTATGCTGTTAGGTACACACATCCGTGAAGCAATGCGTCCACTTGTCTGTTCTGTATCGAATATAAATTGCGTGTACAGTGCGCACTTTATATGAAGAAGACAGGGACAGGGAACAACAGTCACCAG